TGGGCTTTTTTATTTTTATTTATTTTCTTAAGAACGACTTTAAATTTTTCGAAAGTGAGATAGCAGAAAATTCTAAAATTAATTGCTTTATTCAATTATGCTAATTCCAAAATATAGTGAAAGAGCCCATTGAACAACGAACAAACAAAGCGGAGCGTCGAAAAACCGACTGGAGATGGTTCGCCGCTAGCTGTTTGCGCGCGGGGCGCGCGCAACTTGAAAACACGTACCGATAGAGGCGAATGGGTGCGCGCGTGCCGCGCGTTTGCGGCGCAGCGCGCCAATGTATACGTACCATCATCGTACCATAGACCTGGCTTTGTGTGGGACTCGGAATTGTTTCCTCGGGGCTACAGCTTCGCAGATCTTGAGGATGTTGCCGAGAAGAGCATAGCCGATGTCATCCATTTCCTCAATGTCAGCGAATGGTTATAAAGACTTAACAATGCAATTGAATTGAAAAATTGATTGGATTGTTAAGTCTTTATTTTGTTTTCGTCGATTAAAAGGCTGAAGGATTTTTATCTTTGACTATATATAACCCGGCTCTATACCCCTTATTGCATTTGATTTTCCGTTTTCAATGTTTTACCCAACGCCATTGTTAAGTTTGAAAGCTAATCAATTGTAATGATGAGTAGATTAAATATTGAAAAAAAGCAGAGACGGACTTAAAATTAGTTTAAATAAATTGTGTGCAAATGTCCGAAACAAAAAAAAGTATTAAGTGTGGCATATCATTGTACTCAGGACCATCTCAGGACACCGAGTTCTTTCAAAACTTGAAATAAAAAATGCAGGTCCGTATTTAAAAAAAATAAGTTGGCCTCTGTATCTCACAAATTATCAGCTAATTTCAAAATCTAAAAATACTATCAGATAGCCTTAATAAAGTGGCTATGAAAATGTGCAATTAGTTATTTTTTGATTTTCCAAAAATTAACGACAGGAAAAAATAAAATTTATTTTCAAAAAAAACCGTTTTTTCCATAAAACTCAGCAATCCTTGAAATATTTAAAACTTTTTTGATGGCATAAAGAATGGCATGCTCGTACCTCGAATTTGTAGCACCCTGTATATAAAAGTGCTTCGTTTATCCGCTAGAGGGCATCAAACTTTGAAAACATATATTTTTTCACATATTTTAAGAACCGTTAGTCCGATTTGAATGAGGTTTTGGATGTCTATGTCTATGTTTTGCTAATAACTGCTCTAACATTTGGATCTCACAAAATCAAAAGGGGCCATTTTACGAAAAGATAATCGGCCGTCTGTGGAGTTGGAAAATATTTATACTAAAATTTATGTAGGAGGAAGGGTGGTTTTCACCCTTCCCGAGCGGTGTAGCGGCGGCGGAACCAAATGACAGTAAGACGTAGCGGAATATTTTAATTCTCTTAGACGCGTGTAATGACGTCAACATTCTAAAACAGATTATTTATCATAAGTATTATGAGCAGTAAGAAGTTATGTGTTTTATTATATATTAATCTTATTTATTATTAACTAAAACTCAAATCAACAAGGCAGCGACATCTATCAATCAATCAATCAACCGGCACTGTGGCGTGCCAGGTAAAATGTGTTAGAGAGCGCCGGGAGCGGTAGAGGGCTCTAGGCTCTAGTGCGCTGATCGCTATTTACTAGTTCTCGGTGGTTCCCAAAATCTTTTAAAGTAAACAAAACAAAAGCAATGTAGGTTGTACGTGTATTTAGTATTATAAAAAGGTATGCTAATATGATTTATACATATATACATGCATTCAAGCAGAATACATATCTAAATATGCATAAATACCACAATAAAAAATTACATAATTTGCACTCATTTCAGGGGCGCAATATGTCTGAGTTATCTGATTCTGATATAGGAAAAAGCGGATCATCTACTCCGAAAAAGAAAAGGGCAATGAGGCACGAACTGGCCAGAGATGAAAAGAAAAGCCGAAAACAACTTTTTTCCAGAAAGTGGATGGAAGAAGATATTTTTAAGCGATGGCTACTACCAACTGAAGATCCAGCTAAAGCTAAGTGTAAAGTATGCCAGTTGAATTTAGGGACCAAAAGAAGTGATTTGTTAAGCCATGGGAAAAGTCAGAAACATTTAAAAAATATGAACTTAACGCAAATAACTAGACCAATTACTGAAATATTTCAGTCTTCTAAACAAGATAAAAATCTAATAATAGCAGATATCAGATTTACTTTGTTAGCTGCATCTCATAATTTTAGTTTTAGTTCTATTGACCATGTAACCGACACTTGTAAATTAAGTTTTAGTGATTCGAAAATCGCAAAAAATATGCAATTAAGGCGTACAAAATGCACAAGCATTTTAAAAAACGTACTTGCATCTACAATTAAAGAGGCATTGTGTGGTGAACTGAAGAATAACAGTTTTTCTATTCTTGTAGATGAAAGTACAGACATCAGCAATTATCGGTACCTGTGTATTTTAGTTAGATATATTTATGAAAACAAAATCAAAACCGAATTATTAGACTTAATTCCCATCAAGGCTGATGAGGGGTCAGCAAAAGGTCTCTATTCCCTGTTTAAAAAATGTCTGACTGATTTTAATTTAAGCGTGAATAATATTGTGGGTTATTGCTCTGATAACGCCAGTGTCATGATGGGGAACAAAGAATCATTTAAGACTTATCTCTTAAACGAAAATCACCATATTGTTGTAAATGGATGTGTGTGTCACTCGGCTCATTTAATTGCTGCTGCCGCTAGCCAAGAATTGCCAAGTAATATAGAAGCATTATTGCAAAATATCTCCAATTATTTTTCTAGAAGTCCAAAGAGACAGTCAGTTTTAGAAGAATTTCAACAATTTATGCGGGCAGCTCAACTTAAAATTATAAGCCCCAGCAAAACCAGATGGTTGGCACTATCAAATTGTGTTGAAAGGCTAATTGATCAGTGGGATGTTCTTTTAGAAGTCTTCCGAGTAGCTGCCTTTGAAGATAAAAATCAAGTAGGCAATATGATATTTAATGAAATGCAAAATCCCTATGTCAAAGCTTATCTTCTATTTTTAAAACACGTTCTTCCGATCTTTAATTCATTTAATGCTATGTTTCAGTCTTCCAAAGTCCTTGTAGATAAAATGTATGTAGAGAGTAGAAGATTTGTGAAGATACTATGTGTAAACTTTGTCAAACCCTCCTGTTATACGAGTGAGGTTGAACTTGATCTATTAAATGTATTTGATCCAAATGTGTTGCTTCCGGTGGAAGAAATTAATGTGGGTTTGAATACCATGAATTTACTCAAAGATTGTATCAAAGCTGATAACGAACAATTTAAACTTAAGTGTTTGAAATTTTATCAAGTAGCCGTTGCCCAAGCATTTAAAAGATTGCCTACTAAAGATAAATTTTATAAAAATATTACATTTGTACAACCGCAAAATGCTCTGAATGTAAATCTAAAACATGATATTGATGAAATTTGTAACACATTTAAAAATAAAATAGACCCCGTAAAAGCTATAACTGAATATAATAATATAAAAATATATTTTTCTGAAGAAGAAAAAGAAAGTCTAACATGCGATGATGTAATTACGTTCTGGACAACTTTGTTGGACATGAAAAATTTTAACGATGAGCATTTATTTAGAAATATCAGCATAGTTGCTCTGATCATCCTTACTTTAACTCACGGCAACGCGGACGTGGAAAGAGTGTTTTCAATAATGACTGATGTTAAGTCAAAAAAAAGAAATCGCCTTTCACCTGATACTCTGAGTGATATTCTCAGAGTAAAAATTGATTTAGCAACCAAAAATAAATGCTGCACGAGTTATGCAATTAGCGAAAGCCATTTTCAAAAATTTAATCAGTTCATGTACCAATTTAAAACCAAAAATGAGGCAACTAGGTCCACCGCCCCCAAAGAAAATGTTTGTGACACTGACACGTCTGATTCAGATTAGAGCACGATTAGAGTTAGTTAATTTAAGTGTATGTTTATCTTTTAAAGAGAAAATATATTTTTGATTTATTTTCCATTTTTCCAGATAAGGATTTATTTGTGATTTATTGTTTATATTTATATGTTTACAAAATAAAAGTGCTTATTTTGCTGTAATTTTTTTTTATATTGAAAAAAATCAATTGCCAAATGGTATCTATATAAATCATAATTCCAAAATAGACTAGATTTGTAGTGAAATTAGAAATGACACGACCGTAGCGGGGAGTAGCGGAATTTGTGTAGTGACGTAGCGATATTCGTAGTTTTCTGGTTGGCAACACTGATTTTAAGAACCATTAGTCCGATTTGAATGAGGTTATGTCTATGTTTTGCTAATAAGTGCTCTATCATTTGGATCTCACAAAATCAAAAGGGGCCATTTTACGAAAAGATAATCGGCCGTCTGTGGAGTTGGAAAATATTTATACTAAAATTTATGTAGGAGGGGGGGGGGTGGTTTTCACCCTTCCCGTACTTTTTCATGATCTTTGTGAAAGTCAAATGTTAGAGCACTTAGCAAAACATAGAAACCCAAAATCTCATTTAAAGCGGAATAAATGGTTCTTAAAATATCTGAAAATATTTGTTTATTTTTTTTAAAGTTTGATCCTCTAGCGGACAAATGAAGCACTTTTGTATAGAGGTAAATTAATAAATTAATAATTCTTATTTTTACATGATGAATATCTGCCCATGAGAGATGGAACAAGTTTTTTTAAACACTCTATGGAAAAGGAATCCATCATCCAAATCTCTTATGAATAAACAAATGAATAAACAACAAAACAAAAAATATAATACACAAAAAAATATATTTTAATAGATGAGCAAAATAAATTTAATAATTATTTTAATTTTTAAACTGTTTGTAATTATTTGCGGGGTTTGTATTTTTTTGTTCCTTTTTGTAAATCCCGGTGTTATAAAAATACTGTAAAATACCTTTAAAAAATCCCGTAAAAGTTTCCTGATATTTCTGTTTCTAATCTGTGGCACCAGTGGCAGTGGCATTTAACCTCAAAATTGTAACTGTCAGTTTCAATGGAAATTCAAATTTTCCTTTCCAAAACTTTCAACGTTTTTCTTCGATAGCGGCAATTTGACGGAAGTTATAATAATAATAAACAAAATTTTACGTCTAATCTGATAAAAAATGTAAACCACAAAACGTTTATACTTACGCTACAATTATCTTATTAGTGTTTATATATACATCTAGGAAATTTTGTCTCTATTTTTCTAATCAACACTGTAAACAATTGAATTTAAAAAAATGAACGTTGCAAGACTACTGGAAGAATACTTTTCCTTGGCGAATTCCAGTAAGGTAACAGAGAGAAAAAAGGGCTTCGAAAAGCTCAGGGATTTGCTCAGCAGTGACAACATTTTGGAAGATTTAAACTCTGCAAAACTCCATTCTTGGGAATACTTTCTAGATAATATACAAGTGTGTTTGAAAAGGGTAAGTTTATTTAATACTTGACATACACTAGTTATTATATGTATTTTGAACCAACGCAACGGTTCAAAAACTGTATAGGAAAGTATTTATACGAACTTTTTTATAGGAATGTGAAAAAAGGGCTACAAAAACTTCTACACAATATGATAAGAATTTTGAAAATGCTTCTGAAGTATTTAATTTGATTATAAAGTCAGCTCTTCATCAAGGTACCTACTAATTATTATAGTTATGAAGGAAATATAGAGAACAATACATATCGTTGATGAGTTTTTTTCTCAAATGTCCATTTGAAGTAAAATAATTTTATATGATACTGATATGGTACAATAACTGTTGCTCTCAGAATGTTATATAAACAAGTTTACAGTTCGGGGTTGGAACCTTTGGTGTTACAACAGCAAAATAAAACACTAATTCACCACAATATACCAAAACACTTTATAGAGATACCTGAACATGTTAGCATAATCTGCAGATGCGTTCAGTACTTCCATTTTGCACTGGAAGCACTGAACGCATCTGCAGATTATGCGAAGTAAAGTGTTTTGGTGTATTGTGGTGAATTAGTGTTTTATTTTTTTGATGATATCTTAGTGATACATTTTTGTTCAATTGTTTTTAGGTGCCAAATGTATTAATATTTCAAAGTTAATCAGATATATGGATGGTTGTTTGAAAGAGAAAAACATGAAAATGTGCAGAAATCTATTTTTGCTGGAATTAAAAAATAATATTCTACCTAACATTACCTGTTTAGGCCATCTGGATTCAGAGGATTTTGTATGTAAGTAGTCATTAATAATAAACAAATCTAGAGTGATCCTAAATTAATTTCACTTTTAGTAATATTTGAAATATTAAAATCAGAATTTACTGCTGTGGAATCTAGTGATGTTCTTATATGCAATTGCTTTGTGATGCTAATGAAACATTCACCTCTGTGTGGACTGCCACCCAGTTATCTTCGAGAACAGTTTACTTTTATGAGTAAATTTTGTCAGGATGCTAAACCAAATGATCCTAGATCTGTACATAACGATGTGATGGAGACTGTGTTATATTTCTGCAAACATGTAAGCTCTTAAAAGTTATATTAATTACTAGAAGCTTTATTTCTAGAAGGCCTAAATACCTACATAAATATGTGATTTGTGCATTATATTTGCAAAGACCTAATAACCAAGTCTAAATGTAATTTAATCAATACGTTTTGAAAAATGTTGTCCTTTTTTAAAAAATACCATATGATCGAAAAAAAACGGCGTCCAGTTGGCTGGGAAATGAACATCAATGACATTTCCCATATAAATTTACATATAAAATGACAGCGATCTTCATTCCATAGCCATCGCTGACGCCGTTTTTTCTCGATCATACGGTACTTCTCATGTGCAGAGATGGGTTAAATGGTTTTTGAAATATATTTAAAATGAAAATACAAAATAGATAATAGAAAAACAAACAAACAAATAGAAAAAACCAAAACTTACAAAATATAAAATGCTTTTTAAATTTCTATTTAATATACTGTTACGGATTCCGTGGGTCCACTATTTATACTCACGATAAAATACTTAACGAATTTATTTTCTCACTTTATACACAATTACTAACTTATAACACACAACAAACTAACTATTTATAAGATTCCTTCACCAAATTGTCCGATTTTCAATTTCCACGCGGTATATTCAAATTTCAAAAACTGTCTCAGTTGTCGATGGCTCCGGCTTATATACTCTATTGACTGCTTCTCAGAAATTTCCCCAATTCTCCGGAAAGCGTACTTCTTCATACCAGACAATTCTATTGTCTGATTCCCTACTTCTCGACTTGACTAAAAAGATGGCGCCTGAAAAGTCTTTTAATTTCTGGCGGATACGTTGCGGTTGTGCAGGCAACCAGTAATATTTTTAATTTCTGGCGGATGCGCCATTTTTCTTGACATTGCCCCCTTCTCAAATTTGATCGTCCCGATCAAGGTTTCCTATCTGGTATCTCTTCAATCGATCCAGATGAACTACTTTCATCTTACTTCTAGGGCTGCGTTGAATCCGGTACACAACATCATTTATCCTCTTGATGACTGTATAAAGGACCTTCCCATGCTGGAGTTAACTTTGGGGACCCTCCCTTTCTTGCGCTGTGGGTTATATAACCATACCATATCGTCCTGTTGAAATCCCGTAGAATTAGCTCTGAGGTCGTAACGAGCTTTCATCCGGTCACTGGCTAGCGTAATCTTACTTCTCACGGCCTTATGAATTCCCAATAACCTTTCCTTCAGTTCATCCGCGTAGTCCTCTACATTCGTGGTGCCGTCGTCTGGTGATCCGAACACCAAGTCACAAGGCAACCGTAATTCTCGACCAAATAAAATCTTCGATGGTGAAAGTCCGGTGGTGTTGTGAACTGCACTTCTATACGCCATTAGGAACAGCGGTATGTGTTGATCCCAATCTCTTTGATGTTCGGCCACCATTTTCGAGGTGTTCTTCAATGGTCTTATTGAATCTTTCGACCATCCCATCAGACTGCGGATGTAAAGCTGTTGTCTAGTCTTGTGTGAATACCAAAAGCAGATCACATCTTCTGGAACAGTCTTGACTCGAAGTTCCTTCCTTGGTCAGTGTGAAAGCTCTAAAGGGAATTCAAATCTACTGAAGACATTATTGACCAATACTTCAGCTACAGTCGATGCTTCTTGGTTTGGAATGGCAAAAAACTTCTGGCCATTTACTGAAATAATCCATCGCTACTAAAACGTACTTGTTGCCCTTATTGCGTTTCAGGGGAATGGGCCTGCAATGTCAACAGCGATTCTTTCGAATGGCAGTCCAACGTTATATTGTTTCATTTTTCCCCTAGAGCGAGTGCTTGGTCCTTGGCTGGCTGCACAAGTTTTTACATTGTCGACACCATTTCTTGACATCTTCGCAATAATCCACCCAGTAAAAACGATCTCTCAGCTTGCTCAAGGTCTTGTTTACTCCAAGATGGGCTCCAGTTTTACCACCGTGAATTTCTTCCAATACCTGGAGTAGCTTTCTTCCTTGGTACCAGTAACTGAGTTGTTACTGTCCTGCCATCCGCACTTTCCACGTGCGCTTTAACAATCCATTCTCAATAACCAGTGAATTCCACTGGCCCAGAGAGCTTTGAAAACGAGCCCTCTGTCCGCAATATCTTGCCACGGTGGTCTCTCGCCGTTACCTTCCTTGAGCCGTAGTATTGCTCCGATGTCTGGATCTTCCATTTGGTCTTTCCTCAATTGTGTCGTCGTCCACATTTCATCGGTTCCAAGCTTAAAACTCCTTATCATAACAGTGCCTTCACGTTGTTCCGTTTTACAGCAGTGCTCACAATCGGTTTGACAGGGTCTTCTGGATAAACCGTCTGCGTTACCATGCATCTTCCCAGCACGATGTTGGATGGTAAAGTGATACTGCTGGAGCTTCTCGAGCCATCGTGCTATCTGACCTTCAGGTTGTTTCATCTCCATAAGCCACTTGAGAGCCGCATGATCTGTCCTAATTAAAAATTCTTGGCCATACAGATATTTATGGAAATGATCAACTGCTTTTACAATTGCTAGCAGCTCCTTCCGGGTAACGCAGTAATTCCTTTCTGGTTTAGATAGAACTCGACTGTAATATTCTATCACTCGTTCTTCGCCATCTTGCACTTGTGATAGCACTGCACCTATGCCGATATTGCTGGCGTCGGTATCCAGGATATACCACCCTTGTTGTTGCGGGTAGGCTAGAATAGGACTTGAACATAAAGCCGCCTTAAGTCTTCCAAAGGCTACATCACAATCGGTGTTCCATTCGTAGCCGACTTCATCACCTGTAAGTCTATGTAAGGGGTGCAGCTATGTTGGCAAATCCTTGACAAATCTTCTGTAATAAGTGCATAAACCCAGGAAACTTCTAAGTTCATGTTTGTCGCGAGGTTTAGGCCAATCCTTGATCGCAGCGATTTTCTTCTGGTCGGTGTAAATTCCGTCTGCTGAGACTACATGGCCCAAAAATTCCACTTGTCGCTGGAATAAGCTACACTTCTTCGGGTTCAAGTACAGGAGAGCATTCCGTATGCGGCCGAAGACTTCTTCTAAATTTCGCAAATGCTCCTCAAAAGTTCTTCCCATAACCAATACATCGTCGAGGTAAACCAAACACGTTTTCCAAGTTAATCCTCTTAACACCACCTCCATGAGACGTTCGAAAGTGGCTGGAGCATTGCATAATCCAAACGGCATGACCTTGAATTGGTATAGTCCGTTTCCTGTAGAAAAAGCCGTCTTTTCTTTGTCTTCCTCGTCCAGACCAACTTGCCAGTATCCACTCTTTAAGTCGAGTGGAGAACCAGCACGAACCTGCCAGAGTGGTTAACGTGTCGTCTATACGTGGCGGTGGGTAGCTATCCTTCTTAGTGACGTCATTGAGCTTCCGATAGTCCACGCAGAATCGTGTACTACCATCTTTCTTCGTCACCAAAACAACAGGGAGATGACCATGGACTCGATGATTCTTCGATAACTCCCTCTTCTAGCATCTTATCTACCATTGTCTCCATTTCTTGTTGTTTGGAAAAGGGCACCCTTCTGAGGACGTTGTCGAATCGGCTGAGCATGACCAGTATTAATCCGGTGCTTCACAAAATCCGTTCTTCCACTGTTGTTCTTCTCAAAAATACTGCCATGCTTTAGCAGGAACTGCTTGGCCTTCTGTTTCTCCTCAGGTGTTAGGTGATCCCATGGCTGTTCTAGATGTTTTAGCGTTTCTTGGGATGCCTTTTGGTGTAACAACTGACGACACTTCATCACATCGGGTGACACTTCTTACAGGTTCGCAGATGGCTATCTTGTCACCTTTTTGGATCTTGACACAATTCGGGAAAACATTCGCAATTCTGATCGGTATATTCTTGTCAGTGTTCACCAACGACTTTCCTACTAAGTACCTATCTTGTTTGTTGTCGCTACTTTGTACCAGTCCAACACAGCACCCAGCGATTTTCTCCACTTTACCGAATACGATCTTCTCGGTATTACCAGGTATCACCACAGTTTCCGCTGATCTTACATCCATTCTGCCTGGTCCCTCGTCTGGAGATAACATGAACTCTTCATTTCCAATATTTAAGATATTTCTCTGGTGATCGAACGAAAATCCATGTTGACGAATCACATCCATGCCCAAGATGAAGTCATCTTCAATATCTGCCACTAAAACGCTATGCTGGAACTTCAAATTTCCTAACTTCAGTTCGACGATAGCCTCTCCCCGTACAACGGCCATTTCCCCCGTAACTGTACGTAAACATACTCTTCTTCTCAGAGGCATCAGGTTCAATCCTTGCACTGAGTTAGCCCGCACCAACGAAACCATAGCGCCAGTGTCCACTGTCATTCGGATTCCCTTTCCATTGACTTTCCCGTCGATCACCAAACTGTCAGCGGTTCTTCCCTAGACTTCTAATGGAAAAAATCCTGGGGGCTCTGTTCTCCCCAGTCAATACTCGCCCCTTAGTATTGACTGATTTTGGATTTTCCTGGTGCTTACGTTCTCTGGATGGTGAACGGGATCGCATTTGAACGCGGCAATCCGTTTGATGTGGCCATTCCTGCCACATCTAAAGCACCTATAAGGTCCTGGAATCTTCTCTGGTTCTCTGTCTGGGTGTTGTTGACTCCCTTGTTTATTAGTAGCTCACATAGTTTGTCGACTTTCTTACACATCTCCTCCAAACCTCTGTGTGAGGTGCTTTCCGGGCTTGTTCCTCGACCGTTACCGATCTTATCTTCGGTCTAGGGATGGCGCTAAAAGCAGCTTCGATTTCCAGCGCCCTGACCAGTGCTTCGCTGCTGGTGGAAAATCAGGATATTTGCAGCGCCCTCTGTAATTCGTTGTCCCTCAGTCCGCTGATAAAGCACTGAGCAGCGAGTTCCTCCCTAAATCCTTCCGGTGCTTCTGGATATGCCAGGTGTACCAGCCGACGTAAGTCTTAGCTTCAAATTCCTGCAGACTTTCTCCGGACCTCTGCAGGCGTGTCTTGATCTGGGCCTGGTAAAGTTGACGTCGATGTTGATCGCCATATCTTCTGTCCAATGCAGCAACCAAGGTTTCGTATTCCCTGCTGTTGGGCTGCAGGAATAGTTTGCAGCAGTTCAGGGCAGGGCCGCGCAGCGCGATGACAAGTGCCGCTGCTTTCTCCTGGTCAGTCCATCCGTTGGCAGCGGCGGCTGCCTCAAACTGACGGTGGTACATTGTCCATGTCGTTTGTCCATCGTAGGTCGGGGCCTTAAGGTTCGCTGTTCCTTGAACGCCAGGTGTCCTTACTTGTACCTTGGTCTTCTGTAGGTCCATCTCTAATTTTTCCATTTTCTGCTGAAGGCGCTCCTCCAGATCTTCTACGACTTCTTGGAAGTGGGTCTCTTGTCTTCGTTCCGAATTTTCGATACTCTGTTGAATACGGTCCTGCTCTTCTTGTTTGTCTTGTTCTCGCTGAATTTTTTAAATCTTCTAAAATTTTCTCAAGCCGGTCCTGTTCTTCTTGTTTGTCTTGTTGTCGTTGAATTTTTCCAATCTTCGAAAATTTTCTCAAGCCGGTCCTGTTCTTCTTGTTTTTCTACGATGTCGCTCCTCGAAACGAATTTCCAAATTACCCAACATTTTCTCAAGCCGGTCCTGTTCTTCTTGACGTCGTAATTTTTTTCCTCTTCCTTATCTTTACGTAGTCTTTCTTGTTCTTCAGCTTTCTCTCTTCTCATATTCTCCATAAAATCGCCCAATAGTTTGCTTACTTCCTCCATTTTTCCTCGCTTGCTGTCTCGTACCAACCATAAAAATTCCCAAATTCGGTGTAAAAATCGTCCAATCCACTTAATTTCTTCTTAAAATCCTCTTGAATCGCACTTCCGACACCAATTGTTACGGATTCCGTGGTCCACTATTTATACTCACGATAAAATACTTAACAATTTATTTTCTCACTTTATACACAATTACTAACTTATAACACACAACAAACTAACTATTTATAAGATTCCTTCACCAAATTGTCCGATTTTCAATTTCCACGCGGTATATTCAAATTTCAAAAAGAAAACTGTCTCAGTTGTCGATGGCTCCAGCTTATATACTCTATTGACTGCTTCTCGAAATTTCCCCAATTCTCGGAAAGCGTACTTCTTCATACCAGACAATTCTATTGTCTGATTCCCTTACTTCTCGACTTGACTAAAAGATGGCGCCTGAAAAAGTCTTTTAATTTCTGGCGGATACGTTGCGGTTGTGCAGGCAACCAGTAATACATTTTTAATTTCTGGCGGATGCGCCATTTTTCTTGACAATACAAAATAGAAAATAGGTATTTAAAATAAGTGATTTTTACAGGGTGGCGCCTCTCATACCAATGAGAACAGTAGTTTATATCAACATGAAATTTTGGCAGCATATGTAGGTTAACTAAAAGCATTTTATAAAAATATATAGAATTATACAGGGTATTCCCAAAAAAAGTCACACAACAAAGTTGTGTTTTTTCTAATGAAACACCCTATATATTAATTGATTTTCGGATTCTAGGAAAAAAATAAAGGTGAGTTTTATTAAAGAAGCATATACCTAAAATCTAACGATTTTGACATATTTCACATTTTGTGAAAATGAAGAGTAAATTTTAAATTTTGATAACAGCTACCTAAATTTTTGTTGACCTTGTATAGCCTGATAATTAATACAGTAAACATTGTATGTTAAACCAAATTGAAATTTGACCCAAAAAGTTATACAGGGTAAGACAAAATTAATATGGAAAATTAGTCACTTTTAAAAGTAAGTTACTCCTTTATTTTAAATGGAACACCCAGTATATTTTTCCGGTGTTAAATGGGGAATTTATATATCTCCAAATTATTATTAAGGTTGCCTACCCCTCAGACAAATATTTTCCGAGATATTTTAATTTTTATGATTTTGGGTCAGTAAATCTTTATTATTTGAAAAAATCTAGGTGGCTGTGTGATATACCTTTTGTTAATTTAACAAAAATTAAAGATTGTAGAGTAAAATATTCTAGGGTAATAAAAAGATACACGTTTAAAACATATTTTAATTATTACAGAATTAAAACTAGATATAAACCTATAATTATATGACAAAAATTAACTAGATGAAATCAAATGCTCAAAATGCGTCCTTTCCTGTTAACTGCATAAAATTATCTTTTCATTTCAAAAGGCATATGGGGAGTTCTACCTCGAAAAGCAGCTACAATAATTTCTCTCACGTTGTCGACACTAGATGGGAGGAGCATTTAAGTATTCTATTAATTGGTGAATGCACACTGCATTCACCAACTAATAGAATCATATCAATTCTCTCTGATGTAGGATAAGTTTGCATTTCGGCAAATTTCTGAGAATTTTTTTTGTTTTAACTGACAGAAAATGATAACTAGTTGTTAAAATTGGACTAATTAGACAACTATGTTAACGTCAGACATATCACAGCCACCTAGGTTTTATCAAATAATAAAGATCTACTCAGATCAAATCATGTAAATGAAAATATCTAGGAAAATCTTTGTTTGGGGGGTAGGCAACCTTAATAGTATTTTGAAGAGACATAAATTCTCCATTGAATATCGGAATAATATACTGGGTGTTCCATTTAAAATAAGAGAGTAACGTGCTTTTAAAGGTCACCAATGTTCAATATTAATTTTGTCTCACCCTGTATAACTTTTTGGATTAAGTTTTAATTTGATTTAAAATACAGTAGTTAATTTAACTACATATTAGGCTATACTGGGTAAATTTCAATTTAGGTAGCTTTTGTTGTAATTTAAAAATTGTTCTTTATTTCTAGAAAATGTGAAATATATCAAAAACCTTACGTTTTAGTCATATACTTTTCTTATAAAACTCACCTTTATTTTCCTCCAAAATCCGAAAATCAATTAATATATAGGGTGTTCCATTACAAAAAACGCAACTTTGATATGTAACTTTTTTGGGGCCACCCTGTAGAACTCTTTTTATTTTTAAAAAGTGCTCTGAATTAACCTACATATGCTCACAATATTTCATTACAATACAAACTGTCGTTCTCCTTGGAGCCTCAGCGGCGTATGAGAGGCGCCACCCTGTACAAGATGAAAATACTTTTTTTTTAATTGCATAAATAAGTATATTCCTTAAATAAAATAATGTTTATGAATAAAATACATATGAAGAGGGTATATTCTACCAATAGTCTACATAAAAAACTTTACCATCGTTACATGGCTAATTTTTTGTGTGAAGTATCCTTTTGTGTAGCCATTGTGAAATAGTCATGTCTGCCAGCGCGATCCCAGGGCTTAAAGCGGGGGCGGCCAATCGAAAAGGTGAAATTTTAACACTAAAGATGTTATAAGGTACACGAGTTATAATTGCGAAAATAGCTTTTATTTATTATTAAGAAACGTGGAAAATTGTTGGTAGACATTTTTCTAGTCGCTAAAATGCCAAACAAAGCGAAAGAGGCAAGAAATTTAAAAATTATTAAAAAATTTAAATTTGAAGAATGAAAAAAATTATGGCATACATGCATGCCGATTGGTAAATTGTCATATTTATTTATTGTAAAAGCCGTATGTGCAAAAGGGCAGACAAAAAGATCGTGGCTAAATCAGCTGCAGATAGTTATCAAAAGCGCGATATTACTCTAGCGTTTTCAGGGAACGCTCGCCGCCTCATCCATTTAGTATAGATAAATCATGTATACGATTATATTATAAATATATTTTTTTATTATTTCAATAACAGATATCATATATTTACTATTCTGTCTCACTATTTGTATCTGACTCATCGTACTGCAGATCCTCGCTCTCGCAAACGAGTCTTCCTCTAAGTCGATATCTACGCCATAAAATTTTTGTAGACTTACATGCATTATGTTTCAATTAATAACGCGGCGAGCGTTTCCTGAAAACGCTTTATACAGTGTGAGTCTTAAATAAGTGCAAATACTTTTAAGGGTGATATATTTCGACAACAGGATCTATGAGTTTTCTTCGCAAAAAAAGATGTAGAAAATCGTGCATTTTTTTTAAATTTTCCTGTATACTTTAGAAAATTTTTTAGAACTGCCTGTTTACCGCAAATTTACCCACGGTATAATTATTTCTTAACCTACCATGCTTACGGCTTTAGTCTATGGCTACACACTAAAAGCACAGAAGAAGAAATAATTAGTTATTTTTTCTTCTGTGCTAAAAGAATGGATGCAAGTACAGAATAAAAACAGGTGACTAAAAATAAATCAGTTTCTTTTTAAATTTTCAAATTTGAATAACTGGGTTATTTTGGACTTACTTGGAAAACGGTAAAAAGAAAATATATGTTTCTTTTATTGAGATCTACCAGCTCTGAAAATATTTGCTCTTATTCAAGATTCACCCTGTAGAGTAATATCGCGCTTTTGATAACTGTCTACCGCTGATTGAGCCACGATTTTTTTGCCTGCCCTTTTGCATACGGCTTACATAAATAAACAATAAACATGACATTCCACCAATCGACACGAATGTATGTGATGGTTTTTTTTTGTCAAAATTTCATGCCTCTTTCGCGTTGTCTGCCGGCATTTTAGCAATAAGAAAAATGTCTGTCAACAATTTTACACGTTTCTTAATAATAAATAAAAGCTATTCACCGGAATCGCGCTGGCAGACATGACTATTTCACAATGGCTACACAAAAGGATACTTCACAAGAAAAATTAGCCATGTAACGATGATAAGGTTTTTTATGTAGCCAACTCTCCTTCAATGGTGAACTAAGGAAGAAGAATTGGTGAAATATAAATGAACATTAATTTACGAAATTAGATACTGCTGGTTGTAAACACATAATTTGCTTTAATTATATACCAAATAGGTCTCAAAGGTCTCGTCTGTCATGGACCTGCTTCTTTTGGGTCTCATTATCATTCCTAAAACAATAAAGAAAAAAGCTACATATAAACTACCAAGAATTTTAAATGTTTTTATTTGATATAATATTTTTTTAGACTGTCGAAGATAACAGAATGTCTTGTATAAAATTTGGAGAAGACGTTTTCTATGCATTATTACAATTATATAATGCAAGTGGCCATGAATCTGCAGTGAAAGTAGGTTTATTCTGTCTGGATGAAATCAATTCTTTCACTAATATTTAAATTTTAAGGAACGGTTCTTGGACTTTTGTCTGTTACAAATGACCATTCGTAACCCTGATGGAGTAGTAGAAGGAGACTCGCAAGCTTTAGCCTCCAGTTGGGATCTCTGGAAAAGATGTATAAGAAGCATGTACTCTATCTTAAGTTCAGAAATCTCTAATTATTTACAGTGTACTATTAAAAATACGTTGATTTTCATACCTCATGGAAGAACTACTCTACTCTTACAAAGTTTTGTTTCTCTATTTGTTGAAGTTAGCAAACAGGTGGGCAATGTTTCCACAGGGTGTTTCAAAAAACGTGCCATCTCTCTCACGTAAAAAAGGATTTATTTTTTATGTCAACATAGCTCCAATTCTGCTTTGTTTCATACCCACAGGAGGCTAAAAACTTCAATTTTTTATAGTTTCTTTGATGGTCAAAGTTATTACTATTATTATTAAGGTCCGACCGAGATCTCTGTCTCGGTTTCAGTCATTCTCGACTGTGTCTAAATGAACCCGAGAATGAACCTGATGAGAATAAGCCAGAATCGAGGCCAGAATCAATGCCAGCAAACAATTTTTTAAACATGCTGCTTAAGAAAGACTTTGGTACTAATTTGGTATTTTTGGTTCTAATTTGGTTAGCTATTTTTTGGAAATAATTTGGTGTTTTTGGTTTTTTTTTCCCAAAATTGGTATTTATTGTACACCATATTTTTGGTATTTTTTTCCCAAAATTGGTATTTATTGTACACCATTTTTGGCAGCGGTTTGCCCCTCGAGAAAAATATTCCAGTGATAACCCATATGCATGTCCCTGGTATATGTAGACACTTTTTTTGCATTAAAATATGTATCACTTATAGTAATTTTTACCCTCAAAATTTCATTCGATCGCTAAAAGCACTTGGAAGAAAATTATAATAAATAAAAAAAATAAGACTTTAACCTCTTTTAGCTACGAAACAAAGCAGAATGGGAATGTTGATATAAAAATAAATCTTATTTTTACGTGAGGAATCTCCCCACAAGAGATGGCATACGTTTTGGCAAACATCCTGTATGTTTACAAAATAACTAACAACTACTTTATTTAAATAAATATTTTTAGTTGCTTAATTATAAGGAACATATACCTTCTTCTGATCCTTCAGAGCATCCCCAGAAGAGAATAAAACTTGAGATGACTTTTGAATTTTTTGTTCAAGAAATTCAAGCGACTAAAAGTTGGATCTGGTAATGGAAATTATTTATTTATTTTTTTTTTATATTTATAATACGTTTTCAGGATTAAACTTACTGGTGCTTTATTAGACAAATATCCCGAAGTGATCGATGAGAAGCTATTTCTACAGCTATTAAAACTACTTCATACTCTGCAGTGTGAAGAAAAAGATACTAACACTACCAATTACATATATGAATGTCAAGGAATACTGATAGATGTACAGAATCGGTTGAACTTTGATAGCAAAGATGAAATTGATAGTATCTGGAGGCTTATAGGGGAATCAACTTTGAGGTAAATTTTGTTCTACCGAATGTTCTACGTACTTATTTTATGTCTTTAATTATTTTTACTTTGAAGCTTGTTTTTTTTTAATTTTCTCTAAAACGGTAGGTAGCGAAATTTGGAAAAGTATAAACGGGATTAACCTTTTTAGAACAAGCAACATTTTTTATGAAGAATATTTTTCTCAAAATGTCAATAATAAAAAAGTTTTTTTTCTCTTGTAAAGACAATCCGGGGACATACTGTATAATAGATTTTTTTAAACTGCTATACTGAAAAAACTGACGGTTTTGGTTTAAGAGCATAACAATAAATAATGATATATTATATTGTTGAAAATCAATTTTATTAGCCTATTAATTTTTAAATAATAAAGGTAGGGTTATTTAAAATAACTAAGATTTGAACATTTTAGGAGAGGTCAAAATACCTAATCATATTATTTATATAGGGCATTTTTATGTGAGTGGACAAGTACCGTATGTTAAAAAAAAATGGCGTCAAAAACGGCTGAGGAATGACAATTGATAATATTGGCGAGGTAAATCTCTAGACTCTCATTTACTAAAAATTGGCAGAAAGCTTGTCAAAACTAACACTAATTATAGAAAGATTAAAAAAGGATAGAATGTTTCCAGAACACAAATCTATTTCCAAAAAAAATATTTTTTCTTTAAATTTAAACCATTTAAAACTCATTTTTACTCAATAAAAAAATAAATTACAACTTCCTTAAGGCCAACTGGCAGTAAGCGCCGTTAAAAATGAAGAAGAGTACCCTGCAAGTAATGACGTCTAGGGTTAGCCTCGCGAAGTATATCATAGATTGTCATTCGTCTTTGACGCCGTTTTTTTTTTTCGTTTGTATGGTATTACTGCAAAGTAGGTTCGATGATGTAAAGAATTTTTATTATAATTCACATTAGAATTTTTAATTTTTTTTTTGTCCAAATCAAAGCTACCATGATCATAAAACATTTTGAGCGTCAGAACTTATTAAAATATAGGTTTGTTCTTTATGGTAAAACATTCTGCACTAGTGAATACTTTGTGTACTCAAAACCCAAGTAGCATTTTAGGTAATGTTTCTAATAATCGTGTCTCTGTTTCTTGATACAAAATGGAAACGGTATGCCACAAATAAGAAACATTTTTGTAACCCATATATTTTATATGGCTTTATTACATGTGTTTCCAATGTGGTGGCACTAGCCTTTCCTGAAATTTTTGGATGCGGAATCAAAACTTTTAGAGGAAATGTTTTGAAACATTTTTTGCAATTTTAGTCCAAGATGTTTCCGTTTTCGACAGCCACTGTTTCTAAATGTGAAAAAAAACATAATACCAAACTAAAATAGTCTGTCTGTGTGTAGATTTCAAAATGAAAACAACCATCAACAATGTCGACCTCCGTCATAATTTTTTTTGTCTTAATATCTTTGTTTTTAGGTTTTCTCGCGCAAAAAATGTCTGACAAAAGTAAATTTATCGTTTAGTTTAATAATGTACTTTCACATTTTTAATGCCTCTTCTATATATCATTATTTGTTGCTACAAAATATTTTTTATTTGAAATATAGATTGTTATTTCTACTTCCATTTCATGGTTCTGAAAATAAAAATATATAAATTTATGTAAGTAGAACGCGTTATTATGAGTTTAAAAGTTCAACAACCGATAAAAACCATATTTTTAATTAAAAACGCTAGCGCTAGCCAACATGGCAGAATTTTAATTCATTATTTTATAAAATTGACATGGAGTCGGACACAAATAATCATATTTGTGTCTAAAAAGAGAGAAACTCGTGTTTCGAAAATGAATCGACAATAAATGGAAACCTATGTTTCCAAAATATTTCCAAATCTGTGTAGAAATGTTGGACTAGTCGCCTGTCAACAACGCCAATCAAAACTTCTGGTCAAAATAATTAAAACACTTTTATTTACTTATTATATAACAATTAAAACATAAAAACATGTAATACATTGTGGAAAAAAGAGAAAAAAAACTTTTGCTGGTAACATTTTTCTTCGGTCTCCTCTTGGATATGGGTAGTGGCTATTATTACATTTATTCATAAAACAAATCATCTCTGTAATGCGTATAATAAATAATTATAAAATTTTTAATTATAGTACTACAAAAACTTGAAGAATGGTTAAATTAAATGATTAAATACAAAAAGTGCAGAACAGAATCCAAACAATAAAGTAAGGTTATGTTCTCGTACTTGACAGAATATCAAATCAATTATGGAAAATTTTCAGGCATAAAACCGGTACCAAGCCTCTATAAATGTGAGCCACATCTGTTTCTTAAAAGTTTCGAAAAATGTGTGACACTGAGATCTTTATTGTTATAGCTTATATAGCGAAACCATATTTTGGTAAAACGTTTCAAAACAAAAAGCCAACTTATATTACGAAAATATGTATCAAAAATGTGTCGAATTAATTCCAGAACTTTTGTGTCTTGACACAAACACCTTCATTGTTTTGAAACTGTTTCGCAATGTTTCTCAGCAGAGATTTTATTTTGATTTTGTGTCTAAAAATGCTACTTGGAATGGTCTTTATTGCTATTTAACGTAGCTTAAACTCGTTCATTTCCGAGCAAAATTAAACTAGTAGAGTTGGTGCATAATATGTTTTACAATAAAGGACATACATTTTATTTTAGTACATTTTTTTATTGTATTTTAGCGCTGTTGGATTGAATCAGAGCATCGAAGAAACACAAATATTACTTCAAAAATTGATTAAGAATAATTATATTGACTTAGAATCGGCTGTTCAAATATACAAACCAGGTGTTCTCACTGTAACAAAATACCATTTAAGCACTACAGAAAGAATACTGGAACAAACCAATTTTGCCGAGTTAACCAAGGCTAAGAGAATTAATTTTCTTCATAGCTTGCTTAGCTTTGAAAATGTTAAGGATCCTAAATGTTTTCTAGAGCCTAATTTTGCTAAAATTTTGGTAGCATTAATCCTGAAACAGTATCCTGATGGTGACATAAATATTCCTAAAGAAAGATGTGATAAATTTCTAGAGTTAAAGACTCTATACGCTAAAAGTAGTTTTAGTTTAAATCATTTACTACTAGAAGAAAATAAAGATAAATCTAAAGATTCCACAAGAATATATAATACAGAAAATGAGATAATCGATTCTGTTTCTCACTACATTAAAACCTTGGTGCAGAATTCTAATTCGAAGAATACAGGATGTAGATTATGTATTTTTGGTCTTCTATATAATATTCTAAACAAATTGATAGAGTACAAAATAATCACAGAGGATACTATGGAAGAAAATGAAATATTTGTAATTTTAAAACGGATTATTAATAAAGATAACCTAATTGAAGAGATAATGAAGTATCAAAAACAGGATGTTAAATTGTTGCGGGAGGTACTTGAAGTGGCCTCAATACTTGATACTATTTGGTCCATAAGGAATCATATAACTGACTCTGTCAAAAATGTGTTTTCCTTGCCTTTTCTTCAGGCGCTTTTTGAAATTGTGAACTTCTTACAGAACGGTAAGTTACCTTATAAAATAATATCTTCGGAATAAATTTTATTTTATAATTTTATTAAGTTACTAATGGTTGCTTTATACTTCCGATCTTAACCCTAACAACTGTAACACTAGTCTTAATCTCAAGAATATGAATTAACTTAAAATAATGCTCGTGTTCATGCTTCAAATGCCGCGATTTTAATATTAGCCTTTGTCCTAACAGGGCCTAAGATATATAGGATAACTTATATTCTTAGGACTAGTTCTAATACCAAATTGATCTGCACACTTATAAAGACTTTATAAGACCTTATAAACTTATCTTAGACCTTATAAACTTTGTTTGCACATGCCCCCCATTAAGAGTTTTCTAAAGAGCATTTGACATGTTGAATTTGATGGCCTGTTATTGAGTAATTATCTTTTTTTAGTCTAGAAATGATTAATGTTTATTCACAAACAAGTGATTGTTCTCACGGAGAACATAAGTTTCTGTTGTTTTCCAAATTCTGAAAATATTTGTATAATTAGGTTAACTCAAAATATACAGGGTTGTTCACCACATACGACATGGAGTATTGTAGCTAAACAATTAGATTTTTATAAATTGTAAGTTTAGGGTTCGTTGAAGAACTATTAGAGCTACAATTTAAAAATATTTTTACAAGATACAGAGTGTCCCAAATAAGTCAAAAATATTATAGTCGCATTTTTTTAAATGGAACTCCCTGTATATTATTCTATTTTTAGATTCTACGATTAAAATAAAGGTAAATTTGATTAAGGTTTATCACATTTAAACCTTACCGTTTTTGAAATATTTTCGATTTTATGAAATTGCAGTAAAAATTTTAAGGCTCCATTTCTCCAAGGGTATCTTAGTTTTTAATACTAAATATTTACTGAAGATTATTTCTTGATCAGATATTGTGTTGCAATAATAAAAATTTTACTACCTTATACAGAGTGTCCAAAAAATTTATAGTAAATAATTACTAGCTATAAACGGCAATAACTTGTTTAATTTAAATAGAACACCCTATATATTTTACGTGAATCAGATGCACAATGTAATTGTCTATCAAATTGTATTATACCATTTTTTACCCATCTCTTCAAGTTTTCGTAGAAAATGCATTTTCTTATAATTTAGACCTCATTATCACTATACCCATGGAATATTGACATTTTAGATCATTTTTAAATATGTAACAAATTTTCACATAGTACAGATACTAATATTGTCGATATAGTTCGCTTATTTCATTAAAAATAAAAAAAATGTTTAAATATTTTTTTTTGTTAAAGAGGACTAATTAATATGATCCCAGTATTCAAACTACACTAATTGACTGTTTACGTTGATTAATAATAATTGCTCCAAATACTAAAAAACTGAATTTGTATTAGACAGTGTGGTAAAAAGTAACACCTTATAAATTTTATGTCATCTTTTGACGTATGCTTATTTATAAGAACAGAGACGTTGATTTTCATAACTTATTATTATATTGATTTCTGAGCCAAATCCACATTTATTTAGAATACTTTATTAATTAAAACAATTTAAAAGTATGTAATTACCTAATTTTTGGTCAGAAATAATGGTGGTATATTTAATTGGTATATTCTTTTACAAAAATTTAAATAGTTTTTTTATATACCAATGGGCTTGCAATATTTACCACCTGTACATTTTGTACATATATGTTGCTTTAAAAAAATCTGAAATGTCAATATTCCACGGGTATAGTGAGAGTCCATATAAATGAGGTCTAAATTATCAGAAAATGCATTTTCTAGGAAAATTTGAAGAGATAGGTAAAAAAGGGTATAATAAAATTTGATAGACAATTAAATTGTGCATATGATTCACGTAAAACATACAGGGTGTTCTATTTAAATTAAACAAGTTACTGCCGTTTAAAGCTAGTAATTATTTAATATATATTTTTGGACACCCTATATAAGGTAGTAAATTTTTTATTATTGTAATAAAATATCTGATCAATAAATAATCTTCAGTAAATATTTAGTATTAAAAACTTTGATACCCTTGTGGAAATGAAGCCTTAAAATTTTTACTGTATTCAATTTCAGAAAATTGAAAATATTTCAAAAACGGCAAGGTTTAAGTATGATAAACCTTAATCAAATTTACCTTTATTTTAATCGTAGAATCCAAAAATAGAATAATATACAGGGTGTTCTATTTAAAAAAATACAACTATAATATTTTTTACTTATTTAGGACACTCTGTATCTTGTGAAAATATTTTTAAATTGTAGCTCTAATAGTCCTTCAACGAATCCAAAACTTACAATTTGTAAAAATCTCATCGTTTAGCTACAATACTCCGTGTCGTATGTGGTGAACTATGGTGGTGAACAACCCTGTATATAGTTTCATTTGTGCGGATATAACATATTGTAATCCCAAAACATTTTCTGATGCAATCAATCATATCGACATTGACACTAAAGTCTATAAACCTGACTAAATGAAATTTAGACAAAAATGTTTAAATTTGTTGTATAATTTAAGATACCGAGCAGCTCTTCATTTTACTTTATAGAGCAAATGATTGTAACAGATATTTTATTTAGATTAAAGCTGCAGAAATTAGTTTAAACCTAATTTTATTATCGCTATGTTGGTCACATTGCGCCGCGATCAGCATTGTTGTTTTTTATTATTTGACAATTAATTATTATCCTAGTGTCAGTCATTATTTTGTATAATATCGTGTTGTTGTTGAATCTTTGTGGGTAATTCTGTTTTTTTTTTGCCTTAGTCTTTTTTTTTTAAGTTGCACTTTTAAACACAAACAGTTCTTTTAAGAACTAAATTTTCGAGTTTTTGTATTACATTTCTTGAAATTTGTGTGTTGAAAATATGCCGAAGCATTTAAATAGTCGAAGCAAAGAGCTTGTAGCTCCCTGTTTTTTTTAAAACTATTTTGAATGAGAATGTGACAATAAAGGTCCTTTATTACCCTTGACTGCAGTCAGAAAAGTAAGTTTGATTGATAAGCACATTATACCACTTTCAAAGCTAGTTTTTATTAAATTCTGTGATTATTAGTTTGTGCATTAATAGCACCCTCTTACTTGTTATAACCACTTATGGCGTTGTAAGATGTACATCAATAAAAAAAAATAGCCCATATAACGCTTATAATAATCTTCATAATGGACTTTGCCAATATGTAATAAGTAAAATGAGCTATAAAACAAAAAGATCAATTAATCACTAAAATATTATTTATTAAATTTAAAATAAAACGTAAAACTTTTTAAAAAATGATATAATAAATATGTTGTCTGTCAATTTTAAATTAAGATTCATCCCATAAATCCATCACAATCTGGCAGCACTGTCGCCATCGCTTGTCACTCAAAGTGGACCACGTGCATCGGAAATTGTTTTGCGATTACTATACTACAATATTTTTAAGACAAGTATTAGAAGTATGATTGGCATTTCCTTAAGGTCTTAAGAGATTAATTTCTTAAGTGAGATATTAGTAATTCAATAATTTTAATTTAACAACAAATTGTTTTTAAAAATTGTTAGAATACCTTAAATTAAAAACGCATTTTAAAAAATTAAAATTAAAGCTATTTACCCATATTCAATATACCATTTATTGACCCCTTGGGTATTTACCAGGTACAAAAACTTAAAGGCGGATTCTCACGACTGGCGTACTTGACAAATATTTGTTATTGGAATATACTTGCCATGTCGTGAGAACGGGTTCCTTGGTCACTTGTCGTGTCCCCACTCTCTGTCGGTAAATATAGCCCGAGTCAAACGATTAATCGTACACTTGCCAAGTATACTTGGCCAGCCTTGTTGACACTGGCCGAGGCGCAAAAAAACGACTGCGCAAATAATGTTACTGTTATAGCGTATGTCCGATTTATTTCCGGATCGTAGTGTTTTTCGAGTTAATTGCGGATAATTTAAAACATTAAAACAATAATAAATTATGTAATATCAAATTTACATTAATAACTTCAATATTGGCGACATACCTAAATCGTTTTCACAGCAATAAATGGAGTGAACAAATGAAGACTACACGGGAAAAACCAGATATGTCACATTTTCATAGAAATTAAGATAGCGATACAACTTTATAGATAAATATTAACGTCATTCGAAAAAGAAAACAATAATACGCTTAGTCCCAGAAATATTACAGCTTGGTTATTTTGCCGTACAAAGGAAAAACCAGAGTAGTCCACGCGTAAATGGCAAAAACCAGAGATGTACAGTTGTACAAATATAGGAAGAGACTTGGGGATAGCACCGGTCGCGTGTTATTTTATATTTCTTACGTCTCTAGCTATACTTGTTAAGTTGTACGGCTTGTACTTAAGCATGGGCGATAAGCATGCATCTTGCAATTAGTATATTATTAAAACAAGGGATATTACAGAAAATCGTCGAAAATCAAAAATACAAATAAATTTATTCCGCTCGAAACTTGCCGAAGCCACAATAAATAACAATAATCTCGACTGACCGAAAACATAGATGAATCAACAAATCTCTCAAAAACATCATCTGATGACACGATCGATAGAAAATATTATCCTTATGTAACAATCTTAAAGGTATACACATACGTAATTAATTTATGTACGTATATATGGAATATTTTTTTCGTTATCAATATGTTATAAATTTATGTATTGTAATAAAAACCTACTTAAATATTAATTTTCAACAAAAAAAATATGTAGTTTAGATTTAGGTTTTGTACAACCTTTAATGTTGTACGGTAAAACATCTCTGGTTTTCCCCTGTTTTGTTTTGCATTTTGACTATTTTTTTTTAGATTATCTATTTAGATTTTTATTTCAATATTTCAGAATATGGCCATAATTCGCAATATTAATAATTCAGAATTGGTAGTAATATAAATATTTTTCCAATTATTCAACCGAAAAAAACATATTTCTAAAAACACTAAATTGCATTTTTCTCGGTTCCAATTAAAATGGACA